GGGAAAGGGAAAAATGTTCCAAGGCAGGAATTAAAATCTTCCAACATGTCTGGCCTACCACTTTCTTTCTATATTCCTGCAGTACGGCCAACTGGTTTGCATCTGCCCTTTGGTTTTCGGTGGGTATCTTACTTGAAGTTAACCTGAGCTCTTGGGTGAACAGTGTTCTCATATGTTCACACCAGGGTTCTCATATGTTCCAGCTGCATCTTTCTGATCCCCGGTACTCAATCTCTTGCCTTTTACTAGTCACACTTTAGCCTATCCTCTTGCTGTTTCTCTCTTCACCTGGACTGGAGGTGAGAGCTTGGAGAAACTTCAGCCCTCTAAAAACATTTGAAGCCTCCAGAGATGCTTCTAATTAAAAATTCTTACCTGACTCAGGCAGACCTGGGGATGTGCTTTAAGAACAACAAGGTGTGTTCCACTGAGGGACTGCTGAATAGAAGAAGCCTGAGGGATTGGGATAGGCAGACCTAATTCGAAACCTCAGCATTTTATTTTGCTCTGTAAAACATGGTGTTCCTTCTACTCTTAGACTTTTTTCTGCCTGTACACCCGAGCGACTTTAAACAGTTTATATTTTTGTAAGACTTTGGACTTCAGAAACTTTTCGCATGCATTTCTTATTTAAGCACTTTCACCTCCAATAACCCTGGGAAGTAAGAATCAGAAAATATAATTAATATACCTGGATCAGATAACAAAACTAGTAGTTGAACAAACTAGAGCTTCAAGTCCAATTTCTGGCAATAGCTCACATCTAAGGTTTGTACAGATAAACATGAAGGGCAGCCTGACCTCTTCCCCGAATCCTAATCCTTTTCCTTTTCCCTCTTCCTTCTCCTCTTTTTCTTCTTATTATCATCAAACTTTGAGTGCATCTTGTTCAGGGGCCATAAAGGCAAGTTAAAGTAAAGATAAATTATAACAAAATTTAATCCACCCCTCCTACAGAGTTTTGCCTGTAAAAGAGAGGTCTTTTAGTTTAGAGAATAGGGATGGATAATTTTTGAAATCCATAAAAACTGACTGAAAACTTTTAAAAGTAAAGGTAGTCTAGTTACAGGAGTGAGCTTGTGAAATTATTACAATTAGGATATCAAGAAACAGAGACATTAATTGATACGGAATTGCAACCAACTCACAGGCCTGGAGGAAAATCTCACCACTGTGATAATTCACAGATTTTTAAAAGGCATAAACCTATAAGAAAAGAAGAAAGCTGGAGTGGTGACAATAGCAATACAATTTTGAAAGTTGGTGAGGAAATGGGTGAGTAGTAACTCACTTAGCAGATTTAAGAGACGAGAACCTAAGCCAGCAGTAGGAAAAGGTGGGAAACAACCAAGTTATAACACAGAACCCTCATAAACTCAGGAAACAGTGGCATCAAGTACCCCTACAAGAAAGGATAAATGTGGGGTTACAAACAGTAGGGTTGGCTGAACTTCTGTATAAGAAGCAACAAGATTTCTGGAAATCCCCTTCTTCACTCCATGCGGCTGGGACCCTGCCCTTCCTCATCCTGGAGGAAGACAGGAAGTTTACTCTCTAAAGAGGATGAAGCTGAGGGTTCCGGGAATGACCGACATCAGGCATAGCGGAGGGCACAGAACCACACTTAGAAAAGAGGATTAAATGAAGGTCTGCATGATAAATTCTGTGACCTCCAGAACACTGACAGCCAAACCTACACTCTCCAGGAAGGAAACAAGAAAACCAGTTTTATAGAAAATCTGATGAGCTCAAGAGGAAAGAGCCAAAGATGTGATATCAAGAGTTCTTTAGTAAAAGGCCCAGCCATACCACCACAAGCTCAGAACTTCCTCATTCTTAAACAATCCTATATTAAGATTCTCAGATATGATATTGAACCTGTGACAAGAATAGGATAGATTTTTTTTTTTAATTATAGGAAAAATTTCTTGGAATTTAAAAATTTGAAGGCAGTATAAAAATCTCAATAGGAAAATAAAAGCTAAAGGTGAAGAAATCTAGAAAATAAACAAAAAATGAAAAAGGTAGAAAACAGGAAAGAAAGGAAAATGAGGACAATTCAAGAGGTTCAACTTTCAAATAATGTGGTTTCTAGAATAAGAGAACAGAGAAAATAGGGGCGAGAAAAAAGTCTATAATTTGAAAAAATCTCAATGCTAAAAGACATGTTTCTAGACTGAAAGGGCTCCACTGACGCCCAGCATAATGTATGAAAACACACCTAAATCAAGTACTAATATTGTAAAATTTCTTTCAGAAACATAAACAGGTCAGGAATCTGAATGGCTTAGAATTTCCCAAAAGCAATCTTCAGAGCCAAAAGTCAATATAGAATGCTTTCAAAATTCTGAAGGAAAATTATAATACAGAATTCTATACCTTGCCAAACAATCTACCAAGTGTTTGTATAAAATTAGGATATTTTCAGAAATGCAAGGTGTGAAAAACACTTCCCTCTTATGTACTCTTTAACCAAGAAACAGAAAGACATGGTATACATGACAAAGGATATCCACAACTTGAAACTACAGGGAATCCTCAGCATGGTGGTGAAATAATGTAGGAAGACAACAGCATCCAAGTATAGAAGGCAGCCAATTCAGACAGGAATAGAGCAGAAGACTCTAGGAAAGATTTGCTTAAGAAAATAAATCAGTGGAACACCTGATGTCTAAATGTATTAAGAGGAGATTGAGAAAACTTGCAGAGAGTCAACAGATGAATTAGTGATAAGTAAATAGGAAACTAAGCTAATGTGGGGGTTGGGGGAAGAAACAATGGTTAAATCTAGGGTAAATTAAAAGTCATGCAGGAAAAACAATATCATTCTACATGGCTAGACTGTGATTAGCATTTAGGTAGTCATAATAACGTAGACAGTAGATACCGATCTAACCAAAATTTCAGTATAACTCTATTAGCAGGATGGTGGAGGGAGGGGGACAAGAAGGGCACGAATGTATAACTAGGGCACAGGGGTGAAAGAGAACTAAATTTTTATCTTCCTTAATAAGAGGTCAACAGAAAAGGCCTAAAACTGATAAGTCAAAAAGTAGCAATATATTCATATTACTTAGAGATATGGATTAATGTCCAAAAGAATCAGCTGAGAGAAAAAAAATGGTGCTCTGAAAAGCAAGAAAAGGGAGTGGGGCAGCAGGGGACTCATGTTTTTTCATAACAAGTCTTATAAAACTATTTCAGCCTTTAAACTATGTTCATGTACTACTGTGACAAAGCTAAAGGTTTTACTAAAACATAAAATTAAATGCTTTTGCCCCTCTGCTCAAAAAAAAAAAAAAAAAAAAAAGATATGATTTTGGGACCTTCATGGACTAGTGGTTAAGGACTCATGAACTAGGTAGGCTCCCAGGAGCATGAAGATTCGATGGTTCCATTTCCACTCCGACTGTCCCTCCTCCCTGTACCATATTAGTGGAGAACGTAAGTTTTAGGAATGGAGTTTTCCAAATAGAGTTAATAGACTCTTAAAGATGTATCCTTTATTCTGCCTAAAGATGTTGTACAATAAAGTGAGGACTCAGCTTTTTTAGACTCACAGGTGAGTAAGTAGATATCTACAACTTAAACATGTGACTTGGTTTTGTGCTCTGTGCTGCAGATGTAAAGCATAATTCGAGAGAAGTCACCCAAATGAAGGATTGTTTCTGTCATAGAGGCAGATGCCGCCTGAACCCCCAAATATGCAATATAAGGTCTGAGTTCCAGAGCTTAGATTACTGTGGAAATTGAAAGGCCTGAGTCAGTGTTTGTGTACACATCTCTCCTCACTGGCTACTGCGTTATGATCTCTTTTTAGCTAAACTTGCAGCTAGCTGATCCAGGTATGAAACAGAGGGAGTTCTGGACAGGAAATGAACATTGAGTCTTGAAAGAAGCCTTTTTCATACTTGTATGACACTGGTATTCTTTATGCTCAGTCTTTAAAATGAACCAGAGGTTACAGTTTTTAATAAAAAGTCATTTTGAAGCTTTATCATATATGATGCTAATAGGTTTAGAGCCCAAATGACAGTGTCTATAAACCTTTTTGCTTCTAAATCAGCATAATTTATTTTGCTAGAAACCATCACAAGAAGGGTTTTTGGTTTTGTTTTTCTTTCATCTATTTGCAAACCCATTTCTATACTAAAAAACTTAAAAATTCCTCTTAAAGTCTCTGGTTTGAGGGAGAAGAGAGCAATAATGACAAACTTCGGAATTTAATGAGCAGCAATATAGGCCATAAAACCAGGCTTGGCTTTTTATCAGGTTTGTGAGCTTGGCTGTGGACAAGAGTCTGGGATTATCAGAGGGATTTCGGTGCGGTATGTTCCAATAACGAATGCCATTTGGTTGCCCTACTTTGGCTGGATCTGGCTTCCTGGCCCTACCTGGCCTGAAATTAGCTTTTAGGGTTTGAGGGAAAATTTATGACCAGGGCCAGACATGGCTCAGCAGGCACACGTTAAGCATCTGTGGGTGACTAGCCCATAGAAAAATTTCGAGCTAGAGTCTTCCTGGAGTAATGACACAAGTTGAACCAAACAATGCTAATTGAGGCCTGCTGTATAAACTATAAGTATCCAAGAACAAACAATACCAACTAGCTCACAAGATATATCTCAAAATGCATGTCTTTCCTTCTCATTTTTGCAAGGAACATAAGAAAGAAGCAAGAGAAGGCCAGCCCATTTGTTCCTTTCCCACTGTGCTATAGACTCCCCTTGCTGGGCCGGCATTCTGTATTGGTGTCAGAAGAGGTTCTCTGTTTAGGCAGAAGGTTTCAACCTTGGGATTGGTGGGAAGGGTCAGAAGGAAGGACTCATTAGAATTTTGTGGGGTGGAGGACCAAGTTTGAAAACAAAGCCATTGTTTCACCATTTTTGTTTATAATTCATGAAAATTATTTTGAAAATTTAAATAACTAAAGGAAGATATGAGAATTTTATGTTTATCAAAGAGAACATGGTATGAATTTTTAATTAAAAGGTTGAGAAATTTTGGTTTAAGCCACAGATTAGGGCTTCTGGTGGACAGTACTCAGCGCCTTGGCAGATGTGGTAATGAAATCGTGGCTTCCCTTTAAACTTCCTACCCATTTATATGTCTATTATGACGTCTTTAGCGTTGAGGGAATGGTTTATAGTTCCAGTTTGTCTACATTACCTTCCTTTAATTAAACCCAAACTATGAAAGAGCTTTATTAGAAGCTAAACTTTACCAACATCTCAACTGCAATTATCATAGTTTATACACCTTTTCCTAAAACTGCTTAAAGCAAATTATATTTTTGCAAGATCCAATTTATGCCAAATACATAAACGTGAAAACGGTCAGAATGAACTTTCTTTCATTCGTTATTTCGTCCATTCATCCATGCAATGAAACACCGAGGTCCCACTGTGCGGCAGGCACGCAGGATGCGCAGCAAGTATTATTTAACAGTTGCACTAACCTGTGTGAGAATAGATGTACCACAAGGCCCCCGTTAGGAGTGCTCCAATCACAAAGGCTGCAAACGCGATGCCCATCACAGTCAGAGTATCTAGGCCGTGGAAAACGGCTGTAAGGAAGGGAAACCAATACACACTTTAGGTTAGTCTGCATCATATGTTGCAATTTTATATTTGTTTCACAAGCATTGTCAGAAAGGCTGAGAGCTGACTAATAAAATTAAAGGATAAAATGAAGATTCCAACAAAATATACTGTATTCGTATTATATTTTTTTCTGAAAAGAAAAATGAAATTATCAGATTTGCAAGACAGGCTCAATTTGCAATTATTTTGAGCAACGTACTAAAAAATCAGATTTGTAAACTTTGTAAAACCTTAAGTCTGTGGTTCATTGTTTCAGTCCTGAGGACCTACTATGTGAACAGTAAAGAGGCTTGAAAATTCAGAGGTTAAGAGGCTTTGGAAAATAAGGCAAACTTCCATTACCAAAATCCGACTCATTGCTTCCTATTCACTGAACACTTCCAACAATAAGACACTACGCCGAAAACATACTTCAAAGACTTTACAAACATATTTGCATGAACGTTTAAAACTGTGAAAAATAACAGGAAGAAAGGGATGAGAAGAAGAAAACATAGGATAAGGATAAACTATTCTTGTGGATTATAACATTTCACTGATCTCTTCATATTAAACCCTGTCTTAACTATGTATTGTGTCATTTAAAACAACCTACTTTTTAACACTTTTCCAACCGTGATCTTTCTGTGAGGGGAACGGAAATATTTCTCAGTGGGGAGTGATGTCAGTTTTATGGTCAGCAAAACATATAAATAGAACCAATTGTTTCTCTGTTTGGCAAAGATTTTTATATTTGAAACTAATTCCAGGCCACAGAAATAGAACATTTCCTTTCATTTAAGAGAGCTACCTTCTTTGAATCACTTATAAAAAGTTAAAATCAGGTTCCAACAGAGAGGGGTTTTCAGTAGAATAAAGATTTCTAAGGTCTCTGTTTTTATAATATAAATTTAAGGTATAGGCTCTCCCCATTATTTCAATATTGTTTCTATGTTCCTCGCCAGTCAGAAGCAACTCCAGCTGATCTCTATATAAATTAAATCTCTGCCTTTCAACTCACTTCAGTGTTAAAGATTCAGTTGTAGACAAATGTGATCCTTGAGCAGCCCCAGCACTTGAAAGGAGTCAGGAAAAGTATGTCGTGTTGGAAAAGATTCTGGAAAGATCCAAATTCCCAAGTTCTCGTCCCTCTTTTCTAGCCATGTACCCTTTTCTGTGTTCATTTAACTTCTGAAAAATGGGGATAGCACTATTTCACCTGCTGAAGGCAGGAAGTAAACAAAAGGAGCTTGTAGACGGGCTGGGGATCCCCCTGAAGGAGTTTAAGAACTAGACAGAACTCTCTGGAGGTTAAGATGAACCAAGCCATCAACCTAATTTAATTTAATCTAGCCGCAGGACTAGATTAAAAGGACTAGATATTAAAATATGACTTGCCTTTTTATGCCTACAGATCCAAAAGTGGGGCACAATTAAAAGTTTTTAGTGAAAACATTCTATAAAGATGGAGATGTCATTTACAACAATTAAACCAGGAACGTTTGAGAGAAAGCGTCCATATGTGTCTCTTACTGGGTTCCATGATATTGTTAAAATAATACGCTTAATATATAAAATAATATATAAACTAATACACTTAATATCATACTTTCCATGAGATTGTTAAAATAATTAGTTAACAGAACATTTTATAAAGTGCTTTGTATAAAGGAATTCTCCAGACTGACTGTCATGTGTACTGATGAGGTCAGCCATGGAGGGATTTAAGGAAGGAAAAAAGCACAGATTCTCCTCACAAGGCAACATCAGTTAGAAGAACTCTGGGGTTCACAGCCACAAAGCCCAGGTTCTAGTCCTGCCTCAGTGCCAATTAGAACCACGGGCAAGTCACTTACATATTTCTGGATCAGAGTTTTCTTCCATAGAAAAGTGATGGAATTGGCCCAGACAATTTCCAGTGCATCATTTTGGAGTAGTTGGTACCTCTTTTTTTTCTAACAAGCCCTCTCCCACCCGCAACACTCCCTGGACTAGAGATTGTCTTGAAGGTATAACTCATTCCTTTACCACTACTTCTCTGAGCAGGTAAACAGTATTAATGACAGGTAAAGCAAAAACACTCCCGTAGCTGTATGTTAATGATTTCAGATCACGACCAATGTAAGTATGCAAACAATAAACTTCTCTTTGTAAAACTAAGTTATTACCCTTCCAGTAAGTCCATACACACCAATGAGTCAACAAATTCATATTTTAAAGTGGCAAAGGTACAGAGAGAAAAAGGAAGGAAAATGAAGACAGAGTTAAGGAAAAAGAAAGTATGAGAAAAAAGTGGGGAGGGAGAGTAAGAGCATAAGGCTCCTTATCAAAACTCAAAGTCTGGCAAATGCCCCATAACCAGCTCATTCTTATAAAAGCCCAGGAGGCTATATTTCGAAATAGTTGCATAAAGACTTACGTGGAGAAATTGGATTCGGTTCCTTAATGCTTGGACCTATTCCTGAAACAAAAACATAAATCATGATACATTACACAGAGCAATCAAGTTTTAAGCAAAAGGTCATCAAAATCTCAGCAGACTGACACTTTTCTATTTGTTAATACTCGTTGAAAGCTCTGTCGATTATCCTCTTTAGTTATTGACACTGTTAACATGGATTATTTGGAAATCTTAAGCGTTGTACTCAACGGTCAATTGTATGGGCTCTCCAATTTAAAGAAAACTTGAAGGTTAACACCCAAACTTAAGGAATTTAAGTCTGACAATTTGTGTGTGTGTACACCTTTATACTTATTTAGAAAAGGATTCGATACTTTTAAATACCATGTTTCTCCAGTGTATTCACAATATTATTCCATTTTAAAAAATTCTTTTAATTTCATGTATACAAGTTTTTAAAAGTATCTTTACTCTTCTATCCTTAATGCTACTGCCCTATATGGTTCAGCTCCTCTTCATCACATATCTGCATTTTTACAGTTTTCCAAATTGACCTCCTTGTCTCTATCACTGCCCCCAGCACACATATTTTGTCCTCCATATGTGTCCCCTAGAGTGAATTTTCCAGATCCCAGAGGTGGATATGTTATTGCCCTGATTTACTTGCTAAATGACTCCCCTCTATTTATAGAAAAAAATTTTAAACTCTTCAGCATGGCACACAAAGTTGTGCCTCCCTCCTTTACCAAACTCTCTCCTTTCCAAATGAGATCCTTCTCCTATGCTAGGCTCCTCATATTATTTAAACTCTCCCAATTCTCTATGTTATCACACTTTGCAAGCTATCCCTGAAATACCCATTTCTCCACACCGGCTTTGTTGGTCTTCTCTGATGCTCCCACCGCCCCATCTGTCCTCTAGCAGGGCTGGGTTCTCTCACCTCTGCTCATTCCATCCCTCTTCTGTTACACATGTACCACATCACATTGTAATTCTCGTTCTCTCTCTCTCTTTTTTTTTTTTTTTTGAGGTCAGAGTCTAGTTCTTACTCATCTGTATATCCTCAGGGTTCAGCCCAGCATAAAATAGGCCCGCCAGAAGTGTTTGGTGAAGGATGATTGGAATATTGATGTGCTTTTTGAAAGTGGAGGCGATAGAGGAAACTTTAAATAAGAGTATACGAAAATGCTTGTATGCCTCAACATTTCTATGCTTTCATATTCAGAAAGTGCTACACAGCCATGATCTCATTTGAGGGTCATACTAGCCCTGTGAGGGAGGCAGAAAAAAAATTATCACTATTTTACGAATGAGCAGACTGAGATTCTGATATCATGTGACTAGCCTAAGGTCTCAGCTGGAAAGAATAAGGGCAGAGGTTGAACCAGAATTCCAGATTCTGCCTCACAGCCTAAATGACTGGTGAGTGCTGCTCCATCCTTAGCTGGAAAAGCAGAGATTGAAAAACGACTTGTGCATAGCTACTCACTATCTTCAGCAGTGAGAACAGCATAGATAGGGGGGAGTATACCATGGCCCACTATTTATTTTTGTATGGCCCATGAACTAAAAATACATTTTGTATTTTTTAATGATTGAAAAAAATCAAAAGGGTAATATTTAACGACACGTGAAAATTATGTGAAATTCAAATCTATTCCATAAATAAAGTTTTATTTGAACATAACTATGTTCATTCATTTACGTATTGTCCGTGGCTACTTTCATGCTGCAATAGTAGCACTGAGCAGTTGAGGCAGGGGCTATATGAACCACAAACTGAAAATATTCACTATCTGCTCCTTTATAGAAAACGTGTGGTGAGTCCTGGCATAGACTCTGCCCCTTCTCTTTAGAGTTTAAAAGTGATAAGTGTTTAATGCCTCTCTTTTCATCTCCATTTTTACTCAAGAAAGAAGGAATACACACATTGTGTTGGAATCCAGAGTGAAGTGAAAAGAACTTGTGAAAAATTGACCAAAAACAAACAGCGTTTGAGTTGGTGTTTATAAAAATGAAGATGCTAGACAGGACTGTAAATTTTCAGATTAACCAATCTCAGTCGGGTTGATCACATTCTTGCAGCATGGGTATCATGATCCAGCTCTAGGGGAAGGAATGCTACCAGATGAATCAAAGCCACTAAAATCAAATTAAATTAATTATGTGATTTTAAGAAAATCTAATTCAGTATGTAGAATACACACCAATTACAAAATGCCCACAAAAACTCTCTCCTAGGTGTTTGGTCCTATCAGCTTAGTTGGCAGCGAAAAAGTAATGACGGTGAAATCTTGTGTTTGTACATTTGTATGGTATTTTATAATTGACAAAAGCTTTTACTTGTACTATCTCATTGTAAACTCCCAAGAACCCTATGAAATAGTGATATCTAACCACAAAATTCTCCTACTTTCAAGCAGTAGTGGTTTGATTTGCTAAACTAAGTCCAAAGGCATTTAAAGGTCTCCATAGTGTGCATCATATGAGAAATATACACACTTCTGGGAACAGTTCCATCCAATTAGCTACCCGTGGTTAAATTTTGTCAGTCAGAATTCCCAAGAGGTTCTACATAATAATTTTCCCCTAAGGAGACCTCACATGCAAGAATTTAGGCTTTATAGCAAGGCCTGTGTGATGGATGGCATTGTTTTAAATTTCTTAATGGACTTATGTTATGATCTAATCCTCTTCCCTCACCTCAAATCGGGGCCTTTTCACAGAACTAAACAGAAACAGTTGTTGCTTATGTCCCCCCGGGTAAAGTTCCTCCATGATTTCTGTGCATAAACAATAATAAGCACAAGCTGCAGAACTGAGGTTAAAGGATTTTATCCTCTAACCTTTTAGTTCCAAAATCCCCAATAACCCCTGAGTATAACTAAAAGAGCTTGATGTCCACTGGAACTGTATAATCGAGTTGGCATGCTGAAAGGAAAAGAGTGGACACAACAATATTTACTTTTGGTTTACGGGTTAGATTGTAAGAAAGGAATCCTAGCTATTACTGTAAAAAGAATTTTAACAATAAAGATTTCTTTACAGAAAGAACAAACTATAATCAACATTCTGAATTAAATCTTTTCATAGACTCTGAGCAAACCTTGGTCTATCTCTAGAACCAAAATTTCCCTCCTCGGAGTGTTAGGCATGGTTTTCATACACGGGATATTTCTGGGGTTACGCATGAGTACCTGACCACAGCTTTTGGCTTCCAGCTTTCAATTCAGTTCTTCTAAACATGGTAGGACCAAACAGGCCCAAAGTGAAACAAGGTATCTAATTGGTACCCACTTGTACCACTATTTGGCAAAGAGGTTAGGATAGAGAGATAAAGAAGCTGAAGACTTGGAGGCCTTTGTACAGGTCACATTTAAGATACAATTTTTACTAACTTTACTTCACTATAAATGAACCCCACTTCTCTGGGTCGTTTCAATATTTGTGACATTTGTTGCAATTGCCTGGTCACTTATCTGCATGCTTCCACCAAGATCAGTGGCTCTCACCTGAAAGTGATTTCTGCCACCCCGCCCCCCATCCCCAGGACATTTGGCTATGTCCGGAGACATTTCAGGTTGCCACGGCTGGTAGTGGAAGGGTTTGCTATGAACAGCTAGTGGGTAGAGGCCAGGGATGCTGCTCAACATCTTCCAATGAACAGGACACTCCCTCCCCCCACCCCACAAAAAAAACAAATGCCATCTGAGCATTATCCAACCAAAATGTCAATAATACTGAGGCTGTGAAACGCTCCACTACACTGTAAAGGCCTTAAAGACAGAACAACGTGTTTACTATACACCAAGCATAAAGTAGGTACTCAATAAACATTTTTTTTTTTGAATAACCATAAATGTCACGTATATCTAATTATTGTGTATGTCCCAGCACACTGACCTTCTCTCAGAGTAGTCCTCCTGAATGATCACTGGCTCCCTACTCGATATCTTTTGATGGTTCTTAACTTTTAGAAGTACATTCTGGAATATTTATGGATGAAATGAAATGTCTGGGTTTCCTTCAAAACAATCCAGGGACAGGAAGTGATAAAACAAGATTCACTATGAATTGGTAATTGTTGAAACCAGATGGAAGGTTCATGGGAGTTCTTTCTACTATTCTATTTTTGTATATATTTGAAATTTTCCAGAGTAAAAAGTTTTTAAAATGTGGATCACACTGAATAATAATAATAATAATAATAATAATAATAATAATAATAATAATAAATCCCTATGATACTCCTTCTCCCTTCCGGAATAGAAACTGAATGTCTTGGTCTGTCAATTAAGCATTTCTACATTTCTTTCTACCCAGCCTCCCTTCATCTCTACCTCAGCCTGAGGACAAAACCTGGCTGGTGCTTTAGAATATTTTTGTTCTGGAAAAATCAAATGTGTTCCAAAAAGTAACGCCTCTCTTGGATTAACTTGCAATTGACGTTTACAACTTTCCCTTCTATCCCCTCCACTCATCCACCCTAACCCCAAACCCAGTTTGGCCGAGAGGTTAAGAGGAAGGAAAAGAAATTAACATTTACTCAGTGCCCATGATATGCCAGGTGTTGTCCTGAGCACAATTTTATTTTGTAAAAGTTATGTGGTAGAAATATGGAAAAAATTCAGTATTTTAAACGTTTAATGTACTCATTTTAACTTGCTGAGAATTATATATTGCATATAAATCATGGCAAATTTGGGGGTGATATTTATTGTTCTTTTGTGCCCCATTTTTTTTGTATATGTGCCCCAAATTTTAGAGTCCAAAATTTCAGAGAAATGATTATTCTTCTCTTTTACCCTTTAAAAAAAATTATCATTGACGTGGTAATACCATTTTTTATTGTGGAAGCCCAAGTGTTCTCAAATGCTATAAAAAGTGGTCACAGCATCCAAAGCAAACAGCACTAATATGCCTATACTTCAAAATATTTCAGAAAATATCGTAGGATGGCATCACCTCAACTATTTTAATTGTTTTGCCATAAACCATAATACGCATAAACTATTCATGTTTTCTGGGCTTTTTTGTAAGTTATAATTCAAAGTCACAGAACTCCTCTTAAACTTTAATACTCTCTTAAATAGTTTACATGTTTCTCGATATCTTAACTTTGCGGGAAACAGACTTTTTTTCTAAAAGTCTTCATCTTCTTTTGAGATTATAGGGTGTTAACTACGTTATTTATAGTTTCAAAAAACAAACAAACAACAACAACAAAAAAACTAGACTCAACTTAGTCCTCAGATAAGGCATAGAGTTTAAGAGCATAGGCTCTGGAATCAAAGTGCCTGGAGTTTAATCTCAGATCTACCATTTATATGTGATATGACCTCAGTCAAGTTACTTAGCCTCTCTCTATTCCTGCCTCGCAAAGGGGCTATGAGGATAAAATACAATAACTCATACAAAGCATTTAGCACAGAACCTTGTATTAAGTAAATGCTCAATAAAAGTTAAATAGTCATCATCTCCATCGCCATCATCACCGCCAGCACACATCATCTAATGTTGAAAGTTTAAATGATGAAAGAATGCTCACCCAACACTGGTTCCCAAGATTGATCAAAAGTGGCAAAGATGCTACAGGCCCAGAGGAGGGCCCTAGAATTATTTATTAAGTCTTGATGGCCTATTCTCCCAGTCCACAGAAGGAAGTAACATTGCCTGAAATGTGTCCATGCTGTTGGCAGTGGTAGCCCCTGAGGAACTCTCTGCCTGGCTGTGAAGTTGACAACCAGAGCCTTTATCTGCTGCCCCAGAAAACTCAAGTATTGAAAAATATGAAGGCCCAAATGACTAAGGAGAGCTGAAAATTTGGCATGGCCTTCAAAGAGCACCTGTATAGTAAAAAGGACAGTGAAATGTCCCATTGGTTGGGAAATTTTTATCCAAAGTGCCAATTCTAATGAGAGACCTGCCCATTTCCAGAGATGCTCTAGAATCTGTGTATTACTATATTCACACACAAAACTATCTGGCAGAAAAAACATTCATGATCCTTTTACTCAAATAAACCACTGCTATTAGCCAAATGTCACATTTCCTTTTCAATTGATTATCCCAACACACTGAGAGGTAGAGGAAAAAGTGAAGACTTGAATGGCCTGCATTGAAGAGAAATGATTTTAGAGTTAAAGGAAAACAGACATAAAAGATAAGAGGAGTCATTCAGAGTTGAAAACTGCCGGAAAACCTACCCCATTCAGTACAGAGTTAGAAAGCACCTTTGCAGACAGCCCCTGGGAAGCTGGCCTACGGTCTAACCTCCTCAATTTGTTTAACAAATCCAAGCAATAAACTTTCTTCACTACATGCTTCTCCACAAAACTCTAGTCTCAATTAGCAAATCTCATGAAATTGCTTTGATATTTGGTAAAACTTTCCTCTTGAACTTTTATGTAAAGAAAACACTGAACGTTCAGGATAATTACACCAAGTTTAAATAAAAGTTAATTACCTAATTTACAAGAGGAATTACTTAGGAAAATACCACTAGACTTAAAAGAAGAAAGAATGAATTACTGGAAGTTATACTGCTGCAATATTAATGCCTAATTATTGTCTGGCAAAGGAAAAAGCAATCTGCTGCCTTCAATTACCAGCAGAATTACCTCTCTCAAAATAGGTAAGAGTAACAGATGGAGTACCAGGTAGCTGTTGCTATTGTTAAACCACTTTCACAGCACAAAACAGAGCCAGCTGTTGCCCAGTTGTGATATATTTTGCAACACAATTAACTTATTCCTTTCCCCATGACCCAATTAAAAAGGAACTATTTGGGCAATCCATTTATTGGCTTTTATAACTGTTTCAAATGGTTGAAACCCTACTAAAAAAGGCAAAACAAACAAAAACATTGCTGAGGAACCAATAAATATCTAATATGTACATTTCACACCAACTTTTGGATAGCTGGGAAATGAATAAAAGAGTACTTTGCTTCTTCAAACAGTGTAACTGCATATTACAGCTGCAAGGGCTCTGGAAGTCATCTGGTCCAAACCCCTCCTTTTCCAGATAAAGAAAACGAAACCTAAGGCCATGAAGAGAGATCTCCAAAGTCTCACAGCCAGTTATCTGGGAAAGCTAAGAGCTACCCGCCTCCAAGGCTCTTGGCTCTAAGCCAGTGCCCTTTCCACTACTCTCTCTTGCCTTTCTGGAGTGAGCATATTCCTAGGAAGGGGGTAGACATCACCACCAGATATGACAATAGGAATGGCACTGCTACTTTCGCAAAAGTCACTCAACCAAAGAAGAAACTAGATGGCATCCACATGCCTCTGTTCTGTTAGGTCTTGTTTGTTCGAGAGCCACCCCTGCTGCTTAGTCTTGCCAAATCCAACACAGCCTGGACCAGAAATGCCATCCCAAGAGCTGCCTCAAGCCTGGATCTGGTGTCAGCACCACCCAGCAGGACTCCAGCTAATGTCCGGCAACTAGAGTCAGGCTGCTCACTGGCTTTTGTCAAGGCCCGCAGTGCCGGTACCAGGCTTCTCTCTGTCCCTCAAGGTGGCAGAAGACAGCCGGGAGCTCTTGCCCTGAAATACCTAACCTTAGAGGTTTGGAATCCACTTTCATTCTCTCAGCCTTCTCTTAGTTTGGCTCTTTCAGATAATGTTTCTAGATAGCCATAGGTTTTCTTCAGATGGCGATAACTGTAACTGCCCATGTGACATCTGGTTCCACCTTGTCAGATATTGACAGCTGCCTGGTGTGCTCTTGTTTTCAGATGCCCTTGGTTGGAGCTGTGATGCTGTTCCCTGATAGATGCTCCCCACAGAGTCCATAGGGCCTCATATCCATTCCTAATATCCTCGCAAAGCCCAATTCTGCTTCTCTGCTCATTTGGCTGGCCTGGCCTATGCCAGGTCTGGCTGTCCTCTCTGGTACTGGTACTACACCTCTTAGGGTACCCTTCTTTTCTCCCAGAAGATACAGCTTGCCAAACATTCCTGCATGTGTATAGGAGGAGGCACCCTTGGTTTCGAGTAACAAATCTGTGCATAAAACTCTGAAAACTGAATTATAAAAACACATTTGAACACTGGTTCTCAACCTTCTTTCTGCTGTGACACCCAAGATGGATGGTGTTCACATACATAACACCTTCCCCAAAGGCATTTGCGATCTTGACAAAGCACTAGCAGCCCTGAGGCTCCCATTCCCTGACTGATCCTCCCGAAACACACCTTTAGATTCTACTTCATGATGGATCACAGCAAGGGGCTTGGTGAATGTCTTCTTGTTCTGCATCATGGCCCAGATCATTGAGGCATCCAGAGAGGTGCAGGCTTCATCAGGAGGCACGCACTGCAGAGAGGCAGAGCAAAGCAAAGCAAAGAGTGAGGGGGGTCACTCGAGAGGGCCTTCACCAGCTCAGCCTGCACAATTGTCCCTGTGCCCCTTATCAGATAGCTCACGATTGTTTACCACAGAAAAACAGAAGATCTGGGTATTTTACGAAGAACCATAAACAATCTTGGAGATATATATAGTGGCAGGCCCAGTATATTCTCGGCTGTACTTAAAGATGCAAATAGCGTTAGACAGCTTATAAATGTTGTCTTTTCCCCCTTTCTTCCTACAAAACAATTGAAGATTTTAGTGTTATTAGTGTGAAAAATAAAGAACAAAAAAAACCAGAAGATCTGGGTATTTTACGAAGAACCATAAACAATCTTGGAGATATATATAGTGGCAGGCCCAGTATATTCTCGGCTGTACTTAAAGATGCAAATAGCGTTAGACAGCTTATAAATGTTGTCTTTTCCCCCTTTCTTCCTACAAAACAATTGAAGATTTTAGTGTTATTAGTGTGAAAAATAAAGAAACTATGTGATAAATGTTGGCCCTTCGCCAAGCTGGCTTCACATAAATGGTTCACGTTTGCAATTTGTGATTGTGGGAAACTTCATGTATTGCATGATGAAGGTGACAGATTTTACATTTATTGTCCATAAAGATAATCGTGTTGTCGAGTTTGTTTGATTTTTAAGCCCTGGTATAGGCTCATGCAAAATGAAGCTTTCCAGGGCTATCTGCTTTTATTGTTCCAAAACAAAGTCTGTCTTTGGGAGCTGTGCCCAGGTGTGGAAGCCATGAGATCAGCTGCTTCTATCTATTTTAGGGCCCCAAACTTATAACTAACATGCCCGAGCCCAGTGGATATGTTTTTTAAAAGTATATGATCACATTCCATTACCGTTTTTTCTCTTCACCTTTTTCTTTTAAAGAACTTTGGTTACTTGTCTATGCTCATCAAACTCTAATATAAATGACATATTTGCTTTCATTATAAAAAGAAATATATCATTTTAAATGTCTGTAGCAAGGCATTCCCAAAGTTAATTTCTAGCTCTTTTAATCACAAAGAGCAAACTTTTGGCTTAATTGTCATTGCTGCTCTGAGAAACATGCAAGTCAGACATGTATTATAAGCAGATAACTAATTCCTCCCCGTCCCCCTCAAAAAACAGAAAGCCTTTAACATAGCCCCCTTGTAGAGGGAAACAATGGCTTTTTCATGAAGAGGAATCATTAGTGAAAAGATGTGCATTTTAGGAAAACCTTTCTTACTTTCTTATTAGTTCTTCAGTTAAGTAAGAGTCTATGATTCTACGACTAACTCACTGTGTGATTCTGGGTAAGACACTGCACTCTCTGGCCTCAGTTTCATCAGCAAAGGGCAAAGTTGGACTCAACGATCTTTGAAACCTCTTCATGGAAGATTCTTTGGCTCTGTCTATTGTCATAGAAAGTACTCAGAAGTCACCAGAAATGTGGAAATATTAACTACAAGCAGTAAACAGGGAGACAGTGGTAATGACTCATCCTAAGCCGCCGCTCTATAAGTGCTGGACTGTTACCATATCTATTATCTTATTTGCTCCTCTACCCAGAAGCAAAGCCAGGTACAATTACTTCAAATTAATAGATGAGGAAATGCTGGTTCTGAGAGGTCAAAGGGTTTTGCTTAAAGTTCTGTTAGTAAGTAGTAGCCCTTCTTTGTCAGTCCCCCATGCTCATTCCACTGCATCTTGCCTTGGGTATAAATAGTGACTTTAGATTTAGGATAACATTTTATGTCATACCCTAGGACTTAGAGCTCTCCTTAAAACATTCATTTTCACAGATAAACATGCTATGAAGCTGGGCTGTAAAAGGTCAGACTCAGTGAAAGGTTTAACAGCCAAAGCTATCAATAAAGAACCCCCAGTAATGTCCAGGCCTCCCTTACTAGATCCCTAACTCCTAAAAGTTATCCTTTGTTTGTAGGAAACAGCTGGGCCCCACAGCCAAGCATTAAGCTCCTCACGGCTCTCTACCACTAAGCTCCAACCTTGATGGCCACTGGAAAGTGAATGCCCACAAGGCCAAGGCATCGGTGTTTCCAAAAACAACCTAAAGGACACAGTCTAAATCACCTTACATATATGAGCTCCCTAATGATTATGATCAGATTTGCTGTATCTTCACATGCACTATAAAATTTTCTTTGGTGTTATGAGGGAAAGGAATGCCCAGGGGAATATATTAGTGCCAAGGATTCAGATCAACGGTAATCTATCTGATAGTGATAAATTTGCCTCCTACTTATACACCTATCTCTTACAACCTATGTATTAAGAGAATTCCATACATATAATACATTACACATTATTAGACTTTTAGCCATTGATTGATATGTCCACAAAAGGCTGAGAAACAAGCTTACACTGCGTGAACTATGCACAGCGTAAATGCACATATGAAATTAGATCACAAAAGCAAAACCACGACAGAAGATACCGTTCATGCAGTCCAGGCCAACCTAATGAGGTAATTAACCCTGCCAATTTCCCGTACAGCAGCCATTCCAGCAAGGTCAAAGTGTTCTGATTTCTGATGTGGCAACAGAATGTGCTGGTTCAGTATGGGGAGTCATATGAGGCAAACATGACAAATTCATATGAAACTAAGAAAAATTTAAATATTTATTATCCTTTTAGAAGTCCTCCTGAGACAAGTCAACCCTTATAACTCATACAGAGAAGGTCAAAAAACAATTGCAATACAAGTCTCAGCGGGACCTGGAAAAATTAATCCTCACACTGAATTTGTCCTTTCGGCTCTGTACTTTTGGCACCTCACACTATCTGAATAGCAAAGATAAAGCCAGACCTCTCCCTCAGTGGAAAACAGTCTTAATTTATCATTCATAAGATACTATTAAGTTGCATGCATGGAAAAAAATCATACTGTCAGGATTTATTCTCTAACACTCCATAAACTCACAGTTCCCTGCTAATAGGACTTTGGCACGTCAATGGGGCAGTTCCCAAACTAAAAACCCCAATCTGCAATAATTTGTGATTATAATTCTCTGGTAGGTCACTGCGTCACCTAAAAACATCAAAGAAACAGTACAAATGGCTGAAGGCCCACAAACCTTAGGTAACTTCTGAGGGACCTTTTCTTTCTTGGTACACAATGTGAGCTCACATTGTAGAAAGAGCAGCGAGGTGTTGAAGATGGGCTTAAAAACAAAGCTGAATCGCTTCTTATCGATCTCAGCTTGCGGGATGGGAAAGTGCACTCTTTTGGGATTGTAGAATTTCACAGATTCATCTTTAGGACAAATGTTCTCAATGATGGTGTAATCAGACATCCTATCAGGGTTCGAATACGGAGAGATAAAGCACGTTTGGATGGCAAATCCCAGTTCTTGGTCAGCCTTGGTAACAGACACCTGCAAAGAACAGAAATATGAATACAGAAACAAGTTAACATCTCACTTTTACTTTAGGCACAAGGGTAACATACCATCTGATGAGAGACATTGCTTTATTTTCACAACATACTTATATGGTCTTTCTAATTACAGAAGTAACATGTATCCATTGAAGAAAGAAATGTTTTCAATTTAAATTTTATATGGATGGTGACGGCAAATTACTTAGATCAAACGCAGCCTGAGAGATTCTAATACAGAATGAATAAGTCTCTTCGACTTCCCATAAGTCTTCTGGGAGATAAAAATAAAAGCATATCGTGCACCTAAAGTTAATTTTCCAAAATAAATAAAACACCAACAGGCAAAGCCCCTAATGTCATAATAGCGCATCACTTGTAAGGCAAGCTCTTTTCGAAAACTGCTCAAAAAAATACAGAGGCAGAATCTATTTAACCTAGGCAGCGGGTACTGAACTTCTAATCTACAACAAGTCAGAGTGAGCCTAAAACATTGCAGTAAAGCTACAGATTCATCTAAAGTCCTACTTCACGGGGAGCAGGCAAAGCTGGCCCCTGGGGCTAGATGTCAGCAATGGTGCAATCTGGTGGCGATCACGGGCCTGGCAAAGTATCCTGGCTGCTCACAGATCCAAACCAGGCCTTGCCAAACACTCTCCCTTCACTCTTTAAACCCAAGGGCATTTTAGGGGAAATCTAATCTGGAAATGTTTCCGACTCATTTACACTTTCTTCTTACAAAACATTTGTATGGGCTACGTCCAAACCTTGTTAACGTTCTTTTCTTTAGAAACAGAAAGTAGTGTTTGGTCAAGTGTTAAGAGAATTCAAACCTCAACTATCCTGAACTCAGCTAAAATCCTTGGACCAGACTGGATTCTCCATTTGGTGCCACAGGGTTCATCGTACAAACTGTCTCTCCCCTCTATGCCTCATTCCTTGACTAAACTTAGAATCAAAATAAACTTAAACAACATAGAAGTAAAGTTAGTCCTTAATATATGCCAATAGTCCCACAATCCTTTCAAAAGGCATGAAAATACAAACACACTTTCCATTCTAAGAAATGAAGGAGAAATCCCTGACGTCACATGGGGTTTTCAGTCCACAGTGCTATTCTGAAAGGCCCCTATGGGGTTAACAACAAGATGCCCAACAATGAAGATGATTACGATCATGTAATTTTGTTTTGCCTTAAAGCTTATTCCCTCAGAACAATCTCACGAGATAAATATTTTCATCTCCATTTTTTAAATAAATAGAGGGAAAACACCCACGATAGATGACTTGTTCAAAATCATATCTAGCAAATACTGGGTAAAACCAAAGCTTAAACTCAGATATTCTGAACACAAATCCATTTTCTCTTTGCTATTTCATTACAACTACAGGGTCATTTCAACCAGTCTCAAAGAAGTGGCTTTGAAAGAATGCTTTGTAAGAAATCTTTCTAGGAAGTAATGTTTAGTAGTCTGTAAATATTCACACTTCATTATTTTTGCAATATTTCTGAAAAATAAGATATTTTATCTTGGAAAGATGCCAAATTACATATATCACATTACTAAAAAGTGCCCTTTAACATGAACTCAGAAATCACAACGCAAACATGTGTGACAGAAGAAATGCAAATCTTTTTTTCATCTCAAAGAAAGTATAAAATGGCGGAATGTCTAAGGTATCTCAAAAAGTTGTTTTAGAACAAAACTTTTCATTAGTAAGTCTTTTACTCTAAAATAGACTGAAAATGAGTACTAGAAAGGCTACAGGTTTTGGAATAAGACTAATCTCAAAATATCAAATGCTCTGCTGCTCATGTGCAGTGAACTTGAGCCTCAGTTTCCTCCCCTACAGATTGAGAGGTACCACGTACTAAATACAGTTAATGTGAAGATTTGTAAAGTCAAAATTACATGCAAGCAACACAGTTCCCAGTTAGTCAACAAACACCAGCTATTATTAGCAGTACTATTCTAGATTTAAATTGGGGCGTTATAAAGTTTTTTTTTAATTCTCCGAGACAAATGAACTAAGAGAAAAGCTGCCATTATGTGACCAACTATCACCCAAAGATGATCAAAGCCCAGATGGCAGAACTGAAAATGTCCTAGATTAAAAGAAGGGAATATGGTCTGGCGTGAACAGAGGATTCTGGGAGGGGATGTGATAAGAATGGCCAAGAGAAGAAACCTGGAAATAAATAGCTCTTTAGACCAAGCCAATGATTTAGTAAGTTTTACTTAGCCTAAGCAAATTTTTTTAAAATTTTAAAACAAAAAAATTTTTTAATTTTCTTATCAGCAGTGGAGTCCAAACTAGTAAACAAAGAATAGGCATAGCTATCCTACTTAGTAATAGGCATAGCTGCTATCCTGTTTAGTAACAGATTCCCTCCCACATTTTAGGTGGTTTAAAACAACTTTAAAATAAAACAGCTTATAACATTTTCCTCTGCCCAAATTCTCCTCAATGTACTTGATATTTAAAAAAGGGTAGCAAAAAGATTTGGTCAATTTCTTTTTCATCACTTGACAATATCTTTGACTAAATTTAATTAGGAAAAACATAGATGATATACAAAAAGATATGAATGGAAAGTAATAATAAAAAATCAAACAAACCAACTCATATTTCAAGTAAGCCAGCACTAGGGGAAAGGGAAGAAAGACCACAACACCCAGGGTTGGATATATGAGGAATATTGGCCACTGATTAGCATAAAGCAACTAAGCCATAAATTAGCAAAGCCATGCACACATTTGGAAAAGCACAAACCTCAGTTAAGCCTTGCCCCTAAAATCTATAGTACAACAAGGAGTCACTGACCAACTGCACATGTGGACTGTACAGCCAGAAAAGCAAGAAGAAAAAAACGATCTTGGATTAGAAGAGATCTACGATTAGGAACAGCATGTAGAAAGCAGTATATTTTCCCCGGTGGAGAAAGAAGGTATACCCAGAGAAAGAGGAGACCTCTCAAAACAGGGAATTAAAAAAGAGGAGAGATCCAGGAAAATGTCTAGAGCCCGCGGGCTCCATGCCAGAATCAGTACAAATGTGAGAGTTATTTATCTTTCTAAAATAGAAATACGTGCACTGAAGTTACTTTTAATATATAGAAGCATCCCATTCGACCCCTTACGCTTCTCACTCCTCCCACAGTGAAGCAGAACACAGGCTTGCAGCTTAGCACCAAAACCAGCTCATCAGATGGCGACTCCCCTATAAGACTAGCAGACATCCTGGGGCCATAAGGCTATTTATCTTCTCTAAAATCCAATCTGTGAATCTGGATATTTGCACTGCTAAGACATCATATTTTTCTTCCCTTTCCAATGGCATGAGGCTAAACGATAGTAGCATCCAGTGGATAACAGTGCGAGTTCTGGAGCCAGACAGGCTGAGGATTAGCCCTGACTCTGAACGAACTGTGGGTACAAAGTAGGTGATCTTAGCCAAGTTTGTGCCTCAATTTCCTCACCCATAAAACACAGACATTAATAGTCCTGTCTCAGAGCACTATTAATTGCTTTGAAGAGTAAATTATTGCAATACCTGCAACTGAGTTTGGTACAAAATAAACCTGCAATAAATGTTAGCTGTTCTTATTTCATTATTACCACCGCTACCTAATATTTTCAGTCAATCCACAGACTTAGGCTATGCATGATTATTACTGTTAAATACAGGAACTAGTTTTAATAAACTTATAGATACCTTTAGATGACCTAGAAAAAAAATGTCATGAGATACAGTAGCACATAGCATTCCACTATGTTAATGGAATGCTAGGTGCTACTGTATCTCATGACATATTATCACATATTTAAAAGATAATACGTGAGATGGTCTGAAATATTTCATGGTTAATTCTGACACTGCAACTATTGAACTATTATTCCAAAAATGCTAAGGACAAAGCAAGGACAGAGCTTTATTAGTAGAATTCACACTGACGATGATTTTAAAACGTTTGTCTATAAAACATTCTCTCTATTTAGGATAATCTAGCAAATTCTGAAATTTCCTACTTTGCTCGGAAATCAACCTGGAAGCATTTTCTGAGCCAAGCCTTCACCTAGAGCTGGTCAAAAGCTGTGAGGAGGAGCAGGAAGGTCTGCTCCAGGTGCTTTAGCTCATGCCCCAGGAGCTACTACAACTTAGCACTAACCTGAAGGCCAAGGCTAATGTTGGAATCTCACCTCAACATAAATGTGTCCGTTCTCTGTCACAGAGAAGACCCCCTGGGAGGGCACCAGAAAGAGGTCAGTGTTGTACAGCTCCATGCTGAAGGTGATGTTTCTGTTGGGTGGGTCCTGGAAGCTGCTGGGATTCCCCACCTGTGGCAGGCTGCAGTTAAACGGGGGGGGGGGGGAGGAGGGGGACGGGACAAGAAGAGATAAATCATAGTCAAATGAAGGATGAAGGCCCTGTAGCTTTATGAGCTTTGGCCTTTATCAACTAATTTTTCCTCCAATACTTCCTAACTAAAGCTAGCCAAAAAGACAACATCCACCACAAATTACCTACTGCAAAGAAACACATACCACCACAATTTCAGGTCGGCTAAAGAGGGAAGTATCTCCTTCATCCATATCTCCTGGAAATCCATTATCACCTGACTCCAAATCTTCATAACCATCTGGCCAACCACTACTATCCCCAAGGGATGGAGCCTGTATCACAATCTAAAAGGCAAAGAAAACACAGGCAATGTCATAAAAACATGAAATCACACGTATTTGGTTCTACCTCACAGACACACAAAAAATACTCCAAGTTTGCTTAGGATTTTATCTGCGCAGAGATGAAAAATAAAGAGAAACCCAATGCATGTTCAAATTAGGATGTGAACTAAAATATGTATCTTCCTTTATGAAAAAATACAAATAATTTCAAACAATAAGAAAACAGTAGAAACTGAAATAGGGTTGAATGTGGTTGTCAACAGGCTACCTGTACTGTGGGGGAGGGGGCTACTCTTTACATTGAAAATTCTAAGAAATAGAAAGAGCTGACTAATGCAAGGGATTTGGTTTGAGTTAGAAGCAAAGGATTTAATGTTTACTATTGAACCATTCTCTCCTCATCTTTTCTCTTCCGTACTCCTCTATCTTTTCCCCATTTCTTCTCTAATATCTTTCTCTATGGTATATAGATGCACAAAAGAGCATCATGTTTTATTCCATGACAACCTATCTTAACACTAGTTGAAATGATTATTCCTAGTTTAGTTCTAGATAAGATGAAAATACTCACTTAAGGACCATGACTCCATAAAGTCCTAATTTCTCATATATGTAGGGTAGTCAGTTAGTTCTAGATAAGATGAAAATATTCACTTAAGGACCATGACTCCATAAATAAAGTCCTAATTTCTCATATATGTAGGGTAGTCATGCTTTTTGAATATCTTGCGAAACAAAAATATACAGTAAATCTGACAGTTACTAAGAAAAATTATAACTGGAACAAACAACTAAACTATTCACTGAAAGGAGCAGAATGGGAAGAGAATGTAGGAAAACTATCTCTCTATTATTTATCAAATCCTCAGAAGAAAATATTGATGCAATTGAAGCACGTATCTAGGATATTGCTTACCCTAGTACCATCATCATCATCACCATAACATATACATATAAGAAGGAAAAGTTTTCAAGGGCTCACAATATACCTTTTTCTTCTGAGGCAAATGACACTTTTTTTTTTTTTTACTTGAGAGATTACTGTAGACTCTTATTGGTGTTAATTTAGACACAAGTTTAAAATTCTCAAATCAAGTACAGTATATCAGTAATATGGCATTTATTATATCTGGAAAAAATGGATAACTGCAAGAAAACTGATGTTAGAATTGGCAGGAAGGTGTCATCAGAGAGATCAAAGGTTCATAAAGTATTCCAATAACAAAAGGAGATTAGCTGAACCAGCTTGGTGTAGAGAAAAGATGAGTGGAGGAGAGGTCAAAAAGCTGGATTCGGTCCTAGCTCTGCTGTTAGCTAGTTCTTCAAATCTAAGCAAGGAATTAAATTTCCTCACCTGTGGAATAAGGAAGTTGAATGAGATCATCTTAGGGTTCTTTCCAGCTCAAACATTCTAAGACTGCCTGAGGAACAATAAACTTCGACTCACTGGGAAGAGAGTCAGGCCCCACATGAGCCACACTGACTGGAGTACCTGATCACCAGTCTTTTCTCCGAATGGGTCATGCGTATCTAACTATCCACAATGGAATGAATGAGAATGAGTATTCCTGCCCCTCCCTGTCCCATGCCAAAGCTATGAGCATACACACACCATGTCAAATCTGGACACAGGAATCTTTAAGCCTTATTTTTACCATCAAAGTACAGCCTGAACTGCAAAATTAACACTATAAAGCTCTTTTAAGATAACACTGTATAGTCTTTTAATATTCACTGTTCCTTCATCTCTGCAAGAATAGGTTTAATCTGAAAAGATTTCGTGTCTTTCTTAGAGGTAGAGAGAGATTTAATTTCTTGAAGGCCCCTTTTGGACTTCTCTCTTTTGGCTCTCTGTTCATGAGGGAGGAAGAAGTCCTCCTACTTCTGGGTAGGACTCAAAGGAGGCTAGAGAAAACAGGGATCTGATTAGCTCAGTTGTGTAGATGTTCCCACTCATAGCCCAAAGTCTTGGATTTTATCTTCTTAAGGACCAGGCCATCTGATCCTACAGCTCGGTCAGAGAGATAGGTCACAATTACTTTGTCAGTGAACCCTCTGTAACCAGGAGATAAAAGGAGAGGTGGAAGAGATGACCACAAATGCTCCAACCAAAAAATAAAAATAAAAATAAATAAAAAACAGAGGCTCCCAAATCCAACAAATTCACTAATGGAGCAAATAAAACAAAAAACTTCAGTGTCAAAGTACATCCCATTTTGTTGAGAACTGACACTTGGCTTTGTATATGTCCTGGGGCATATGTCTCTCCTCATTTTCACAGAAATGTTAAGATTAATTTTAGGGTGATAAGGCTCTCGCACAGGGCCAAGCTTTGTTCTGGAGAACACTCACAGAGTTATAGTAAACCACACCATCAGGGGCTGACCGCCGGTGCCGAGTACCACAGCCATTCAGGGGAGACTCCAAAATGAAGTGTGTGCCATTCATCCTGGCCTTGCAGGTAGGATCCAACAGGGTGACCTCCACCCCCAAGTAGCTGTTGGCCTGAAACAACAACCACAAAAGACATAAAAAAAGGGAGCCCACAGGCAGTTCTGCAGCATACAGTTAACACGTTTTGCCTGGTCTTCCAAGTAAAGATTGCTGAAGGCCTGCATTCCTTCTCCCCTCTTACCTTTTCCCAGCCTACCACCTCTCAACAGCCCAAGGATTGTGTTTGTTGGCCTTGGAAATTCAGTAGCAAAATATTGACACACGAGGATCTGGAACCCCCCCTACTGAGAACAACAGGAACCGAGTGAGAATTACAGCCAAGGGGAAGTGAGCCCATCCAACTGAGAAAACAGTATCAAGTCTCCGGAGTCCAAAAGTGAAAGAGCTGGGGAAATAACTAACACATACTGGGGCAAGATGGAGAGGGAAGTGGCCTTCTCTTCTCTCCTTGAAGAAATTGCACTGACCTGAAAAGAATCTTTTTCTACAGCCACGATTATCTTCTCATTGTCACATTTGACTGACAAGGCAACATCTATGCTCCCTTGCACCTCCTCAGGCTCTCTGGGACCAGAAAATAGTCGTAAGCTGGGGATGACAGGGTCTTTTGGCTGGAGGATCCCATCTTCTCCCACTTCCTTCTGGCCTCTCCTGGGGATATCCGGGAAAGGAAAGGGGAAACCTCCATTCCTGCCTCCCCCTCCCTGGATGGGTGGGTTGTCCAGGGTGCCAGGGTCCAGCAGGATCCGTAGCTCAGGAGGGATGGTATGGACTTCTTCATCTCTCATCTCCTCTGGTGGTGCAGAAGAAAGCAAAATATCATCAGCGTTTGATGCCAGGCCATAATCATCATTGTTGGAGGCAAGAACAGGAAGAATTAGCACAGATTGGGTATGTATAAAATTACTCTTAACAAGTGGTGTATGAAAGAGATGAAAGTCTAGAAGCCTGAATTCTAGTCCTAGTGTTTATTTTACCTGAGTGGCTTTGGTCTAATGGCTTACTTCTCTGTGCCTCAGTTTCCCCAATTTTAAAATTAAGAGGTTGGATGAGATCAGTGGTCCTCAACTTTGACTACATGTTAAAATCACTTTGGGAGCTTGAAAAAAATGCCCATGCTTCACCCCAGACCAATTAAAAAACTCAGCCCCTCTGAAGTGGTACCTAATCATTAAAATGTTTTAAAGCTCCCCACATGACTCCAATGTATAGCCAAGGCTGAGATTAGATGATTTTTAAAGCTCTGCAAACTGTAAAAACCTATGATTCGAATAAGTTGTGTGGGACAATATTAGTTCATTCATATGCCATTGAAATAATTCCCTTGAATCTAGAGATACTTTAGAAGAGTTTCTCTAAAGATTTCTTGAAACAATATTGGTATTTTAAGATTATTTGCTACTTCCTTTTTGGCTACTAAATTCCAACATGTGCCTGGGCACTCTGGCCTTTTAGAACCTGGTCCTGAAGAAGAAAAGAAAAAGTTGCTTAGATTTTTTCTTAAAAAGCTGCTTAGTTACTTATTCCTTCAAAGAAATAGGCATATTTCCATTCAATGAAAACTCAGTGTTTTTTCATATTGTCAACAATTTAGAGGGAGGGGGGAACAAAACAAAACAAAAAAACCTTTCCCCAAGAGTCTCTGCATCCACTCTCCAAAGCCAAATGATGTATGCTTGAGGTCAATCCATCTCAGTAGGAAGTAAAGATGACCAGTGGACATTAACTCTCCTTCAATACTATCTTAATGAAAAAGAGCATAGCTGTATGAGTCCAAAAGAAATCAGAGCTTTTGGAGGGCTTTTTCATTTGTACTTCAACCAAAACCTTCACAATATGTCTCTGAGGTAGGTCCTACTGTTTATCCATATCATTGAGGAGGAACAACCTGAGGCTCAGAGGTTAATGAACTCCCCTATCCACCACCACCACCAAACAGTAAATAAAATGGCAGAGCTGGAACTTGAACCTGCACTCCTAATCTTCATTCTATTGGCACTGCACTCAGTAGCAGTAACATGGGGTGAGAACATAGGTCTGGAGATCAGAAAACTTTAAACTGAGTCTCACTAGCTATAAAACTCTGGAAAACCTCAAGAACTTACTAAGCCTCTGCTTTCTGCTCCATCGACCTGGGGTAATAACCCATGCATTCCCTCTGGGTGAGGATGAATGAGAAATCTGTTCATGTTGTTTGATCATACCACTTGGTTGAGAATGAAAAAGCACATCATGAGTCCCCATGACTATTTTCATATAAGATACAGCATGACTGAGGACTTCTTTCCTGCATTCCCAATTCCTCTGTATCTCAGGTGTTAGAAAAGAAGCCAGGCTACTTTATCCTTATGTAATCATAGTGAAAGCAATCTATAACAAAGTTCTCCAACATGCAATCAACTCTATATTACTAAAGCAAAAACAAAAAACAAACAAAAAAACCCAACTATATTAAAGATAGCTTCCTCGAAATAATCTATTAGAATTCTAGATAACTTTAAGGTTTACAGTAAAAAGCAGTTAATCAAATCATTAAAATCTGCACTAAAAAAACACCACCACATAGGCTGAAATGAGAGTTCCTCATTGGAAAGCTTCATTTGAGAGATATTTTTAATACAATTTTAAAAAATCATACTTACCATTGTTTTCAAGCTGAAGGTGAAATCTATTAGCCACAGGAGCCACTGTGTATGATGTCACTGGACGATAGCCATTGTCCAAGGCCCACTTGATCAGATTCTCTTGAGTTGAAGGAATATCATCTCTTACTGATTTGGTCATTATCATGGATCTCTCACTCTCTTTCCCAAAGCCAATGCTGTTAGGAGCCTAAATAGCAAAATTTCACTTATGAGTCAAATTAAACAGTGCTTTAAATAATTGGAAACAAATAAATTCTATACTGTATATGAAGGAATTACCTATTCTTTTAATCCTTATTCTCCTTGGACTAAGAACATTATGTGAAAATCTGTTAACAGATTAAGAGAAATCTATGCATGCTGTTTGATCATATCATTTGGGTTGTTACATAGATAAAAATAGTAGCTATCTGCTAAGTATATCTACTGTGTAACAACAGAGTCAGTTCAATGTTTCAATTATTAACACACACACACCATATATGTATGTATAGCAAATTTCTCCTTAATTTTACTTAAAATTATGTATGAAGTATACATATGTGCATGTTATATTGACATATACACACAAAAAAAGCCTGTGTTTTTACTTCCTGCACCCTAGATTTAAATGAAAGAAGGCACAACCTAGTTACTTCAGTAGTAACTAGGAGACTATCTCATCTTTGTAACTATTAAGTTCCATATGGTGAAACAAGCAATGTTTATATTTCATTTACGATTTATGATCTATTTAGCAATCTTGTAATTGTATTCATCTGCCAACCCTATTAACTGAATATGCTTAGATTTTATGTTCTAAATATTAATTAAGTTAGGGTACTGTGCCTCTAAATATTAATATTTTATCCGACAATACAAGTCAGCCTTAAAATTTGCTTTCACTTGATAATCACCTACAAATTAAAACTGAATGACAGAAATCTTTCCAAGAAAGGATATAAAAGGACTCTGAGTAACCAGGACATGGAAGGTAAATTTCCATATCACCTTCTGACTCCTACAACAATGATCCTGTCAGATAGTAAGAGAGCTGAATGATGCAGAGGGGACCCCAAAGAGAAGGCACTACATTTTCAACAACTGCTCCAACAGGGCTGGAAAGCCCTTCCAACATGCAGATTATGGCATTTTCATGCTGTATAAAAATCACTTTAATTTCCATGCCCAATTATTTTCCTGCATATATGTAGCATTTTCCCTAAATTCCTCATTGGTTTCCCATTCTGTTTACCCCTAACATGACTAAATAGTAATCCTTTCCCACTGTAAAACCATAGAAGATTCACAAGCTCTAAGTTCTCTTAGCCTCTTTGGTTGTGGGACATTGGCTGAGGACATATAATTTTCAATTCAAAGTTTAAAGGGGCTCACCCAGTATATTTTTCTATTACCCAAAGCGCTTATCTGAGGAAAATCCACCAGCCTGGCCAGACACACGAGCATATATGCAAAGGAACCAGAAGGCTTCAACCAAGTTCTATTGCTATTTGCAAAAAACTCAGCTCCATAGGTTTAGAATATTCTAGCTCCTACTCTGATTCAGAGGAAACACCTTAGGGGAAGGAAGGGTTAAAAAGGGAAAGAAAGAAAACTAAAATGAGATAAAGAAGGATCCAAATTATTCTTAGAACTTTTTATTCATTTAGTCAACAGCAGTTTCTGAGACACAGCTTCTTCCAGCCTTGCAAAGCAGCATGTCGTTTTGATTGGCTGGAGTTGCAATACTGGCCTAAACACTACTACTTGGCCTCATCTGCCCTAGTCTTTCATGTTGTTGGACAGCTGAGAAAATACTGTATTTCCGGAATACTATCATCATAACTGCACCTGTCCTTTTTGTACCAATATGGAATGATTTTTTTTACACCTTTCCACATGAAATCCAGGAGCTGTCAGTATCACTCATTGATTATGCCTTGGGACTTACAAGGCTAGAAATCTATCCACACATTTGTAAAGCAGCAAGGCTCAGGACAATGGCAACAAGTGGTTCCTAGCAATGAGTGCAGTCTGCACCTGTATTTCTGGGAGTCCCCAGGCTTTTCCGAGGCCTGAGTGTAGCTACTCCAAGTGAGAATGTTCAAGGGGGTCTTCAAACACCACCACCATCTTTCCCACCTATATCTTCATGAAGGATGATGAGCTAAGTAAAATCTGAGTGCCCCCACATCCTCCTCCACCAACCAACACACACCTGCATCAGAACTGCTGGTGTAGGGGAGGGGACCGGGGAACGGTTGGTTAGAGAGTTAGTGTGTATTCCTTCTGAGATTAAAAAAAAATGTCTTCCAAGAACAAGCCAGCTATTGCCAATCTCGAAGTCCCAAGGCCATATGAAATAGTATAACAGAAAATTTCTAACACATTTTCTCCATCTATTCTTTTATGTTTTGGAGGTTCTTCCAAAATGTGACAATGTACGGTCCATAAGGGACATGAAGAAAAAGCCAGAGCTAGACTTGGCAATGTAGATACTTCTGGTACCATTCTTGCCCACAGCAGTTTTTTGCATCTCTTTGAAACATTCTGTTATTTGGAGGCTACATTCTGCCCATATCCCACCCCTAACACACACACTCTATCCATGTATAATGGGCTTCTTCCTTAAATTTACCCTATCAAGTTACTTACACTTCCTTTAGTAGACATTTTTGTTTTCACTTTGTTTAGAGAAGTTAATTGCTCCTATAGACAAACTTTTAAAGATTTGCTTATGGAAAGAGGATGAACTGCCTTTTTATGGCACATGTGCACTGTGCTAAGAGCTTTACATATGCTATTTTATTTAATTCTCCTTGGAAATATAAGAGGATAGGTACTACTACTCCTTTGTGAGAGAAGGGGAACCTGAAGCTCACAGAAATTAAGGTAGCACATGTAGCTGAGAATTCGCCACATGTGCTGAGTGCTTTAAATCAGCAGTCCCCAACCTTTTTGGCACCAGGGACTGGTGCTCCTATGAGAATCTAATGCCTGATGATCTGAGGTAGAGCTGAGGTGGTGATACTTGTGCTGGGAGCGGCTGCGAATACAGATGAAGCTTCTCGGCTTGCTCGCCCGCCGTTCACCTCCTGCTGTGTGGCTCGGTTCCTAACAGGCCACTGACCACTACCGGTCTGTAGGCTGAGGGTTGGGGACCCCTGCTTTAAATGAAATACCCAGTCACACTTGAATGAACGAATGAAAAAATAAACTTCACTGAACTTCACAAGCACTCTCAAAGTAAATAGTATCATACCCATTTCACGGGTAAGGAAACAGGCTCAGAGTTCAACTGGATTGCCCAGTATCAACTGGGAGTAATGACAACTGGAGATGGGCACCGAAGCCAGGATTCCTTCCACTCTACCAATATTGTCTTTAAAGGAAATACTAGAAACAAGCTCACTATTAACCATTTCCCTCTTTCTAAGCACAGTCAGAATGTATGCCTTTTTATTAGCAGGTAACTTTCCCTCACAGCACAGTCAGAATTCTCATCTGAGGCAGGGAGTTAGGAAATCACAAAGCATGAAACTGATTGGGGGAATAAAAAAGAACATCATGAAACATTACCTAATTGTTTAGTAATGTTGTCATGCATTGTCCAAAATTGGCCTGGAACAGGAGTACAGCCAAGGAGAGAAATATAAACAGATCTTGCACTGGGATGGGTAATCTCATTTCTAGGCTGATTCATATGAGAAGTGGGGATACTCAAACTGAACTCCAGGACTGCCACGGACCAGGCACACATACTCGGGGAGAGAAAGAGCCATTGAAGGGTCAGGGCTGAAAGAACATTACACAAGAACTCCAGCAGAGAATTAAAACGTACCGTATGTTTTTGCCTTTCAAAGCATGATTCCCTTTCCTGTTTTTGTTATTTTGAAGTTAAAAACATTTGGTTGGTGTGCCAGGCAGCAAAGGCTGCAGACACCTCAGGTCACCATCATCCCTCATGCCATGCCAGGGAAAACAATCAAAACATCTCTGACTTTAGAAAATCGTGGCTGAGGCTTTGCGCTCAACACCAAATTAATGTATCACCATTACATATCATGGCTTATTGGGATCCTCTCAAAGTTAAAAAAAAAAAAAAAGACGACACATTAAACTTTGTCAGTTGTCTACACCTTCATGTGAGTAACCCCACAGGATTGAACCGATTACTTTAAATTAAGATGTGTATGCTTATGGCTTTGCCTGCTGCCTCTAGTGGATGCTTGTACATGACGTTGCCTAGGGGACCACTGACTTTGTTCACTGCTATATCCGGCAAAGGTGTCAGGAAAGAATAATACCAAAATCAAAAGCATCCTTTCTCCTAAAACGTTGAAAACATAAAACCCACTCCAATTGATTCGATGCAGATACTGAAAGAAGAATTAGCTATAATTTTTTTTAAAGAGTGCACAAAAATTCAAGCCTATAAAAGAGATGCTAAAGAGGTTAATTATCTTCTTAAAAATGAAGAAGATTTTTAACATTCAATATAATTCACTCCAATATGCTGTCAAATAGTTATCTCCCTAAACGTATTTGAAAAAGATTTATTTTACCAAATTTCAATATTCAACTTTTCAGGAACTAGTTGCTGTTTGCCTATCATGTCAACCAGCTAAGCTTCTTCAGTATATTCTCTTCATGAAACATATGCTTAGGGAACAGGCTGGAGGCACTTCTCTAGTGTCATCACACTCACCTCTCCATTCTGTAAATCTTTTTTCAATATTTCACTCTTAGAAGTTAGAAGCAAATGAAACGATATGTCAATATCATGTACTTTTCTCAAAAATCAAGAGTATGGGCCTTACAGGACTCAATCATGAAAGGCTTAATTGTGTTCATTGTTTTACTGACTATGACTGAAAAGTACATTAATGCATTTCAGGAATTTCACAAATGAGGCTGAACTTCAGAGGGGTTAAGAGACTTGCCCAAGGTCACAGTTTTTAAATGGCAGAGTCTGGACTCAAATATGGGTCTGTCTTGACCTCCAAGACCATAATTTCAACCACCACTCTGTTCACCCTTGTCACGAGAAGCCAAGGAACAGGCTATTTTGCAAAGTGAAAAATTGTTGAGAGGGCTGAGAGTCCAAAGAGGCAGAAATTTTACAATAATAACACATATAAACATGGCTTAAATTATTGCCATTCATCAAAACAAATAAATGCTCAACCAACTTACAATAACTTTCAGGTTTCCCTTAACATCGAAAGATTTGATAACCCAGTTGACAGACTTTTTGCACTTCAAGATCAAGATGAGATTTTTGAACACCTCAGGATCCTTTCGAGAAGGTCTTATGTCAATTATTATATCCACCTGGAAGGCACTGTGAATGGAAAACAAAGGCAGAGTTAGGACCCAAATGCCAGAAAGTTGCAACTATCTCCCCTCTTCCAAGTCTTCATGTTTCCAGTGTCTGGCCAGTTGATTAAAAAGCTGGAGTCGATCCCAGGCAAATGACATGTGCAAAACAGATTGTTAGTGCACACATAACAAATGGCCTTACATAACAATAGAAAAATATGCCTGCTGATAATTAGCCACTAAATTTTTTTCTCCTCTTTAGGGGGGGAAAAAAGTGGTTACTTAATGCAGCCACTGTTTGAAACGAACTTGAACAAACCAGAAGAGTTTACTTTTGAAGCAGAACTGTTGCTTTTTCAACCTTCAACACCTTCAAAGCTTCAGTGTGTAACTTTCCAATATGTTAGATGTTCAAAATCCTTCAAAACCAGAATGGGAAGCAGTTTGGTGAGAGGTGGGTGGCAGGGAGGAGATAGGCATGGCAGTAAAAAAAAAAGGAAATTTCAGAATAAGAGGCAAAAGGCTAGAGAATTTCTTGATTTATATAAGGTTTGCTTAAGCCATTAACATTGGCTACAGAATCATATCTGCATTTACTTTCCCAAACTTCTGGATATATAGTTATTAAAATAAAGAAAACAGATGGTCAACCAAGGGATCACTGGAAAATTGATGAAAAGAACCCAAACTTCTAAGAATTCGATATAAAAGAGAATTTTTACCAAACAATAACATCTCTGTCATTCTGAATTTAAAGGAAAGTCTTTCTTTCTATCTTGGTTTTACACACTTGAAAAGTATAAAATGAATGATATACTCAAATGAAGCCTTAAGCTTAATATCTAAGCACATTTCTCAGATGGCTTCTATTCTCATTCCCTTTTAATTTTCCACAAAATTATTCACGTGGGACAGAAAGGGAACCTTACCAAAACTGATCTACAGTTTATTCGTTTTCGAAATCAAGATTTGATTAGAATTTTAACTTTGAAATCTCTCTACGATATACATTTATTTTTCAAATCATTAGTTCACATGAAATGCAGGCTGCAGTGGAAGAAGGGCCTACTTTTCCCCTTTTTGTTTCTTTTTTTTTCAATTCCATATTCATTCCTAATAGGAAGTGTTAAATTTCCAGTCCTGGGGAAAGAATAAAAGGATGGGAAAGGGAGAACAAGAACACAAGGGAGAGGCGGGTTATGGCCAATGGCTATTTGGTATGACACTGTGAAGGGCCACACCCCAACGCTCACACACGCATCACTTTAAAATAAGCAGTTATGAGTGCAAAAGTGCTCTGATGACACTAGGAACAGAACTTTATAAAAACAGAATGCTAGTAACAATAATTGTGTTAAAAGGCACAATTTGTAAGTTTCTTATCAGAGATAACCTCAGTCAAGGAGATAATGATGCAGCAAGAATGACTGTGTCCTATTAATTAGTACCAAGAAGTTCAGAATAGGTTTCAGGAACTCATCTAAAATACAGGGGATCTAGAGACAGATGCAGAAAATAAAATGTACCACGGCTGTCCTTACTCCCTTCTTCAAAGCTTCTGTGAATCTCACCCAAAGCATCAATGGCTCCCTCCCTCCTGCAAAGGGAGGGCTGCACCTCTCCCTGCCTCAAGTCAGGGAAGATCTTTATTTTCATCTCTTCTCAGTTCAGAACACATACACACTCACCTGTAAGGGTTAGAGTTGGGGGTGATTAACTCGATGATGTGTACTTCCTTATCCTGGGGCTGGCTGGATATCACACACCCTTCTGCTGCTTTGGGCTGAAGGTACTCAGCAAGGTAATTGAGAGAGAGAAAATTCTTCCCTATGTTGCATGTGGGAGGGAACACTTGATCTGAAAGTAAAGAAGCACAGGACCACCCGTCAAACCACTGAGCTACATGGTAACCAGTCTCTAAGGAAAGAAGGTGATGGTGACACTGAGCAAGTGAGGCATCCAAGGAACCACAGTGCTAAGGAAGGGCCTTAGGCCTCCTCAACCACTGCCCTGGAATACCACCCTCTGGTCACCAGTGATCTCCTACTGATCAACTCTAGTGACGTCTTTTGGTTTAAATCCTCGCCTTTCTTGTTCTCTGTGAAACTTCTTGGTCTTCATCCATTTCTTCTGACTTCTATCTTTCAGTCTCTTTCACTGGTTCCTCCTCCTCTGTTCATCCTTTAAATACCAGTGGTCCTCCACCTTTAGTGCACATCAGAATCCACCTGTTTGGAACTCATCCCCAAGAGTTTGATTCAGAAGATCTAGGTGGGGCCTAAGAAGCTTTCTTTTCGAAAGCTCCATAGTTGATCCTGCTATAAAACCAAGGCTAAGAACCTCATTTCCTTCTTCAATCTTCTTTTTGTCTCATATTCTTCTAGATGATCTCAATTACTCCCAAAGCTTCAAGTTGTATCTAGATCGTGACTCCTTTTCTGAGTTGCAGACCTATATTGGTATCTGTATACCAAGCACCTGTCACTTAAAAATCCACTAAATATTTCACAGTCAGCATATTCAACACTGAATCTCATTATTTATCCGATTCCCAGATATGGTCCTCCTTGGATATTTGCTATTTCAATTAATAGAAGAACCAGCAACCTAATTAATTCTCTGGCCCATCATGTACAATTAATCATTCTCTCATATTTTTTCTTCACAGCACTTTACACTCCGAAAACCAAAGACAGGAGTTTAGGCAGCACAGTGAAGGCAGACTTTCACTCTTTCTCACAATCTTGACACAGACAACTAACGTTTCTATAGCATTTTACAGTTTACGAGGTGCTTCAACAAACATTGTCTCATTGTGCTGAGAGCTGCTCATCACCTTGACCAGGTAAAGAGTCTGAAGATACTCCCCCAACGGCACATGCCATTTACACGGCACTGTGGTTGATGGGATTTCCATTCAGTGGTTAAATGTTTAAACAGAACTTGAAACTGCTGGCAGTATGACAGCTGGGAGCAATGTCAAGGAAGTTCTAGGTGCAGCAAACTTTTTTCAGCAGGGGTAATTAATCAGAGCCCTGGCACTTTAATGAAACAGACTTCTGCCCTTTCCATATAATGGACAGGATGCCAGGGTTCAAATTCACGTGCAAGTCTCACTTAGAGAAGAATCAGCTGAGGAGGTACCAAGGTTGGGATGATATTACCCTCTCCTGAATCCCACCAAACTTGTACACATTGTGGCAACAGGGCTCCATGTGCCACCCCTAGAACAGAGGGGACCAGAGGAACTCATGAGACCCCCACTTTGAGGCTCATTCCAAGAGAGCTTAGCTCTGAACTCTGCATTCTTCCCTAATGACCCCCTCAGAGAGAAGAGGCCAGGGCTCCTCCAACTCAGGCTGCCGGAGCAGCCTCCCCCCGACATCTGCTGAGGGTTTTGCCAGATGAGTAGGTGAGGAATGCACACCCTGCAGCTGCAGCCCTGCAGATGCCTCCCCCAGATCGCAGGATGGAAAATAAGACTGGGGTGACAAGACTGAAATTTCATAAAGAATTAGAGGTTGTGTGAATGGGCCAGGGACAGGCCAGTCTGGAACTCAAGGATCTAGACCTCCTGGGGCTCTGGCCTGCATATCCAGTTCACAGCGGTGCCTGGTTTGCATCTGGCATTTAGTAGGTCCATGGTATAGGTTTCCTGGATGAACAAATGCTGATGCGAGATTTGAAACTAATAACAATATTTACCCATGTGTGACTTTCCTAAGCCACCAGTAAAGGTTTAATTCTTTAAAGTTGCTGTTATTAAGGGCTCAAGTCCCAGATGCCATTGTCACTAAGTTGAATAAGCTGATCACTTTTTGTTGTGTGTGCATGTGTGGGGTGAGTGTGTGTGTGTGTGTTTTCCCCAAATGGCCTTCCACATGCCTGGCATCAAAACTTACACCAACTGCCAAGTAGAAAGGAAACCACAAAGGGGAATCCCCGGGTAGAGACCTGGCGTGTTTGGGGTTGGGCAGGACGGGGGAGGGGGAGCGTCGTATGCTTATTTGTATTTTAAGAAAGGATTGACAAATGACTTTGAGACCTTGAATGATATACTCTAAGAGCCTGGGAAGTGACACAAACTCCTCATTTTCCTGCTGTGGAAACTGAGGCTCCAGCGGTAAATCAGACTCTTGCTTGAAGCTTCACAGTTAATGAAACCAGCTGGGATAAGAGCCATAAACTCAATTCTTCCACTCTAGGTATACAGGTGAGAGCAGTAGTTCTCAAACATTAGTGAGCATCAGAATCACCTGGAGTGCTTGTTAAAACACAAATGATTAGACCCCATTGCCAGAGTTTCCAATTTAGTTGGTTTGGGCTGGCCCCAAGAATTGGCATTTCTAACATGTTCCCAGGTGATGAGGATGCTGCTGCGGTGGGGACCACACTTTGAGAACCATTAGGGATAGAGCAAAAAGAGGCTCATAGCCTGGGGTCCCTAGGTTGCAGAGTAGAGAAAGGTCAGGTTCTGGGAAGCTAGCCGATGAGGCGTGCTCAGAGGAGTCTGATCCATGGTGATAAACAACATCACCTTGTGGTCCATCGACCTAACAAAGGACTCTCACTTCCCCTAGTTGCTCCTCTTCATGGTGTGGGCTGGTGGCTTATACCTAACTGGTGGCTGACATCAAGTTTCAGGGGCTCCAAAGGTTAACCAAGGAGTTAATCAGTTTTTTACTGGACTGGACACCAGCTCCTTTAAGTTCTTCCCTAACCCAGTGTGTGGCCTTGGGGAAGTCACTGAATACCTCATTCAAACGGCAGGTGATGGCTGTGTACAGGAGCTCATTCACTGTCAAGAGAACAGAGTCTAACATTCTAAATGTTACTATAATACATTTTCTTATTCTAAATAATTCCAACGGGAGTAATAGTCATTCTTTCATGCTACTAGAATTCTGTGTTAGAAATGCAGACCATTAAAAATTTTTTAGAAAAAAGAAAGAAATGCAGACCATTGGCCAGGGCTTAGAACCTTTGTTAAAAGATATTTTTAATTTGTTCCAATGGGACTTGACTTCTCATGAAAATTTAGTAACGAACTTCAACTTTTTGAACCCAACTCTCTTCTAAAACTCCTTCTCTCTTTACTCTGCTAAATAAGTCTTTCCAATCAGGTGGCTCACTTTCATTTTTAGGTTGTGCTTATTTAGCTAAGACTTAAAACACAGCATCAGGCAACAGGCATTAGAGTCAAGAGTCAGAAAACTTGGGTTTGAGTTCTGGCTTTGCCACTTGCTGGTAATATGGCTTTGAGCATGTTAAGCTTAACCCTCCACTAACCCCTCTGTAAAATAATGGAAATAATGGTTTCCTCCTAGGATTACTAGTGGGGTTAAATGGTGTGGGTGCATGTGAAAGAACCTCATGTGGCTTCTGCATACAGAACACACCCTAAAGGTGTCCACCTTTCCTGCATTTGTCAAAGAGCCCAGATTCAAAAAAGGGCAGTAACCTACCCTGCGTGGCCATACTGTCTATGGAGGAAGTGACAACTGCTGTAAAATTCAACAGAAAGCTGATGGACGCTGAAAACCTGGAATGCAGTTTTCACACAATCACCTGGCTATACCGAGGACCCATTCACAAGAGTGGTTATTTCTAGTAATTTACGGGAGTTCCGAATATACATAACTAAAAATAATGAAAAAAAGTTATTTAAAAAAATAATACACTTTCAAAATTGAGTCATTGGATATTTATATCCCTCTGCAAGGCAAAGAAATTAAAATGGGCTATCTCTTACCAAGGCAATACAGTTTCTTTCTCCAATAATTATCCTCGCAACAGACCTTAGTATTAAAAACATATTCAAACGTTTTTCCTCTGCTATTTCCAAAATTTAACTCATGTCTCGAAATCACACACTGACACTACATTCAAAAGTTTACAGAACAGTAGGTAAGAGGAAGCTCTAACTGTTGACCTCCTTCATGCCATTGTTTATCACCTCCCTTCCCACATGTGCCCTCTGCTTCTAGCCCTGCACTCAGTTCTTCTGACTCCTGTGTATGGGTGTCTTCTAAATTCTATACCATAACCTCCTCCTCCTTTCTCTCAACCAGGCTACTCTCCCATTTTTCACTTGGCCATCACCAGGCCTGTTTCCTCAGATGGAAAATTGGAAGGCGGGGACATGGGGAGAACAGACCCCAGTGATCCCTCAGGTCCCTGCCAGCTCCAACATTCTGTAATTATAGGATTCTTTGCCCTAACCACCTGGTCACAGGAAAAAAAAAAAAAAACCACCTGACTGTTGTAAATCAGCCATTATTTGAAACCACGTAAAATTTACCTTCTCCCACTTTAATATAAATGTTTCGTGCTATCTTGAGTTCGGTGAATGAAGTGACCGCTCCATACTCCTTTCGGGCCCAATTTAACAGATGCTCATTTCCATGGGGGAAGTGCCTTTCTTCTGCTTCTGCTGACAAAGAGAAGTTTCCTGATGAAAACTGGACCACAGAACCCTCAGACACCTAAGGAAAAGAAAATTGCATATTTAATGCGGTACAGTCACCTGGAGCTGAATCATAATAAGAGAACACTTATCAGACAACTAATGGAGATTTGTCAATCCAACCTCTTCCCTTTGTTATACAGGCAGATTATCTGTTTTTAGCAGCTGATTCAAGAAATAATCTCAAGGCTACTTCTCCCTGCTAATGATAAACCTATGATGCAGGATGTTCCTTTGAATTTTTAAAGATTAAAAAAAACACCTCTACAATGACAGACTACAGAGTGCATTGTGAATAATCACAAGCATTATCACTGCTATCTTCCAGATATCTAAACTGAAGGTTAACCTTTCAAGTAATATGTTTCAAAAGTCAAGTGAGAAGTCTTGGTGAGTGCTGTCATGGGCTTGTAATGGGCTTCAGGATCAGAGCAGGTGATCCCAAAGTCCTGCTAGCAAGTGAACTTGACTGCCAAGTCTTCCACCACTGCAGCATCATCACCACAGGGACACAGCAAGAGTCCCCCTGGTTTATGTTCTCCTAAGCACTGAGATAAAAAGAAACTTTAAATCACTAACTAGACACTTAATCTTTTCATTAAATTACTATTACTGACAAAGAGGAAAAGTACAGGGTTATAAGATATTATTTTGGCAGGGGTGAGGAGTTTGGGCAGATAAGAACTTCCTAAGAGAGTAACATTAAACAGAGATCGGATGGTGTGTAGGTATTTGAAAGTGCTATGTAAACAGAAGCCATAAGTAGAAGACTTCTGATACTAAAAAAAAAAAAAAGGCTAGAAGTTGCCAGTCTCCTACCACGCTACATTACTTCCTAACAATGAGATGAATGTGTATTACAGTTTATTTTGTAAGACCCCCAAATTCCCATAGATAATGAAGTCAAGAGGCTATTAGAGTCATCCCAATAAAACTTTCGGGATGATTTATGCAAGTCCCACATTCTTGCTGAATGTATTTAGACCACAGTACTGACCTAGCAAATCATAGTATACATAATTAACTCATACAAAGGAGAAAAATTCTCATTTTATTGCTGTACTGAAATCACATTTAGTTGCTGGTGAAAATATGCGTGTCATCTTTATCGGCTAGCATTTATAAAATAACTGATTTTATCAATGTCAGGGTGAAATGCGAGCAAAAAGGCAAACTCCCAAATCATAAAACTATAAATATCTTGTATTAAATTTCACATTAACTATTTATCATTAACAAAAAAGCAAGCAGGTTCTAAAGAGGTTCTAAATAGCCAGACTAAAAGCAGGTTAAGGGCAAGGATTTCACTTACAACTCTATCGCTTACAGCAGCATTTTCAACCTTAACGCATATACGAAACAGTATTTACCTTAACTATTGTGCTAGGCATTAATATTTTCTATTCAATTATATATTCATATATTTTTTAAACACTGGGAAAGAAGTACTTCACCAAACTGATGCCATAACCTAGTAATGCTATGGTCTCCCTTTTGGCTGAAAGCTGGAAGCACCTAAGAAATTCTAAATATCCTGAGGCCCAGGCCACACCCTAGATCCATGAGAATCTTTGGGGTGGGACCCAGGCATCATTAACAAGCTGGCCATAAACTATGGCCACTAACAGTAGTTATCATTTATTGAACACGTATTACGTATTATGTACCACAAAGTGCTATCATGTGTGATAATGACATTTGCTAAATCACCCGATGCCACTCATAAGCAAAACCAGTGGGGACGGTTTAGTTTCAACCTTGTTTTGACATGGCCTGTGTAAGAAAAAACCCCTGAGCCATTTACCTGCCAAACAATAACCATGCCAACCAATGTATAAATCCTCTGAGGCTTAGCTACTCACCGACACTGAACTTCCAACAATGTTTATCTGACTTTCTGACTTAAGCACTGTAGTAAAATCTTTTCACCGAAAAGCACTTGCACTAAAAAGTCATTTTTATTATGCCTGTCACCGAAGAAAACCACAACAGTCCAGAGGCCTTTGTCCCACTGCCAGCACAGTTCTGAATGCTTAGGCAAGCATCCCTGGATGTTCTGTTCCTTTTGTTCTCATCCACGTTACGACCATAAAACACTTGAGTTTTAAATATGCTATACATAGAGAACATTTCTTCACAGTGGAAGGTGGGATATCACTCCAGAACATTCCAGAGGCAAGAATGTGAACAGTGTAAATAAGGGAAGAAATAGGGAGCAACTTCGGAATGTATCCTAAAGTAATTGAAAAGGGATACCATAGAATAGCTGGTTCTTCACAAAGGGGCAGCTCCTGGCTGGCTGATCCCTCCACGCACCATCAACCCTGCTCATCTATCATCTCCTAGGCCAGCAGCAACAGGATCGCTCACTCTGGGTTGAGGAATTTGGAAAAGGAGCTAACTGCCACTCCTCGGGCACATTCCAATAAGAAGAAAGCAAAGCTGCCAGGGGCAGTGAAGTGTCCCTGACTGTAGGTCAGTGGAAATTTTCTGCTGCAGCAAGGAAGTTAGACAGCATTCATGCTGACCACCCGTTCTCCTGGCTCTGACAAAGCTGGATGCTAACGAAGGCCTCTCCTAACTCCTACCTGTTTTAAAAGGTGTTGTTATTCCCACCTGATCCTTAGGAAGACCTGTGAGGTAGCTATTGTGATTTCCCTGGTAGAGTAGAGGAAACCTCAGAGAAGCCTATGGCCCACCAAGGTCAGAGAATCAGCACAGGGGCAAGATCAGGAGACTTCTGACTCCTGGTCACAGATGGCCTCTACTTGAACCCTTCCAGAAAGGAGACCTCGCTAGCTCCCAAAGAAAAGATCTCTATTCTTACCGTTCTTATTTTCTACCTGTAAGATGTGCCTTCCACTTACTTGTCTGAGCTATGCCTTCCTGACCAAAGAATTTCTTCTTCTTTCCTCCACGAGATAAGTCTTAAAATGTTTGAAGATGTCACGTGACCTTACTCATGACTTCACTTCTTTAGGGCACTATAGCCAGCCCTTCATCTCCTCTCCAGACACCATAGTTGTCAAATCTCCACCAGCAGGGTCTGAAATGCGGTGCCCGGGACAAGACTCAGGGTTTTGGGTGTAGTCCAACAAATGTACTGTGATGGTTAATTTTGTGTGTCAACTTGACTGAGCCAAGGAATGCCCAGATATTTGGTCAAACACTATTTGGAGTATTTCTGTGTGTTTTTGAATGAGATTAACATTTAAAAATTGGGAGACTAAGTAAAACAGATAGCCTTTCCTAATGTGTGGGTCTCATCCAATCACCTAAAAGGCCTGAATAGAACAAAAAGCTGACCCTCTCCTGAGTAAGAGAGAATTCTCCTGCCTAATGGCCTTCAGATTGGGACACCAGCTCTTCTGGGTCCTACAGCAGCCTGCTGGCTTTCTAACTCAAACTGAAATATCAGCTCTGCACATTTTGAACTTGCTAGCCCCCATGATCATGTGAGCCAATTCCAGACATAAACCTCTTTCTACATATATGGGGACACTGCATAAGGCCCAAGATCACATCAGCTTTTATACTGGCTAAACCCTGCTATTTTCTCATATTCGTTAATTTATGCTTTAAACATACATCCAAAAGATATTTACTGAGTGCCCACCTACTCTGTGCCAGGCACTGTTCTAGGTGCCGGAGATATAGCAGAGGAGGTGAAAGACAAAATTCCCTGACCTTGTGGAGCTTACAGTCTAGCAAGGAAGCTAAAAAGCAAAATAAATAACAGATATAATATGGTAAGCAGTGCTATGGAGCAAAATAAATTGAGAGAAGAGGAGAGGGGTACTATACTTTTAAATTTTTGATGGGAAAAGTCTAACTGAGAAAGTCACTGAGCAGTTAAAGACCCGAAGGAGATGAAGGAGCGATCCACGTGGATGTCAGAGGAAAAGCACTTGTGGTCGAGACAGCAGTGAGTGGAAAGGTCTGGCACGGGTAAGGAAAAGCAAGGAGGCCAGTGTGGCTGCAGCACAGCGGGGCAGGGGAGGCGAGCGGGAGAACAGGTCAGAGAAGTCACAGAGAATACCAGTAGGTCCAACAGGACCTTGCAGTCCATTGTTAAAGACTGTGTTTAGTGTGGGTGACATGGACCACCACTGAGAGGTCATTAAAACATCTAAAAAATGTTTTAACAGGATCACTCTGGCTGCTGTGTCCCGTATGGACTGAAGGGAGACAAGGAACAAGAAACCAGTAGTAGACTTTTGGAATTATCCAGGGGAGGAAGCGTGGCAGCTCACACCAGGTAGGTGGTGGTGGAGAGAAGAGTATGTAAATCCCCCAGTCTTTAGTTTATTACATTCAAGGCTCTTCGTGTCCTTCCCTTACACTAGTAATTCTTTTAATATAAAAACAAAGGCTTGTATTTATTCTTTAGGTCCATATTTTAAGTCTTTAGAGACCATATAAAAATCTTTATTCTATTAGTTGTCAATATCTCTAAATTCCATATTAGTGCCTTCTACATGTTTATCTAAATCCCTGAGAAGCTGAATAAGACCAGGTAGAGGTCTGCGACTTACAGGTACTCTCCCACACTGACCCGAGCACATAAAACAGCACTTCCTGGGGTTCCAGGTTGTTCACCAACTACAAAGAATCCCCATGAACTGTCCTCATTTTGTCTGTAAGGGCATCATGCAAGAATCTGTCAAGAGCCCTACTGAAATAAAGACACGATATATCGATGTATTACTTTAGCAGTCAAAGCTTTAGTCCTGCCTAATCCTCACGGTTTGGTACCTCTATTAGATTCTGGTTCAGGTTAAAGTCTGTGGAAGAATATAGATGTAAAGAAGTTAGCAAAGAAACAATGAGAGAGAAAATAATATTTTTTTCTAATATGAGAAAGGGTTAATAATCACCATTGCAAGGAAAATAAGTACATGAGTGAATATGAAATTCTTTTTTTAAAATGTTAAGAGCAAGGATTTTCTATTTGGATAAAATGGCAGAAACTTTCCAGAGCTGTTTATTCTGTCCACCATCCTCTACCTAATTTGTAGG